ATAGTTAATAAGCAAATATATGTGGCTCCATAGGGCTTGAATAACTTCTGGAAGCAAAGTAGTTATGAGGGCTGAGTCCCTTGCCTGCTGCTCTAAGTGACTAAAAATAATTGGTTTTATTTCCCTTACAAACTCACAGAACCCAAACGTTTCCATATAACATACCTGACTCCAGCTCGTTGGCTTTGTAGCTTATGAAGAATGAACCTGATTCATCAGCTGCCCCTGGGCCTGGACAACCTGATCTTTCTTACAGGTTTCTGTGTGCTGCCTCTGGCTGGGGCAAGACTTGGAAAGCCCTGAAACCTGGAGCCTCTTGCTGTGGGAAGCAAGAGCAATGAGGAAGAGAGACTGCTGTAAGTGCAATTGCAGTTACAGCTTGTACTATGCAGGGTTCGGGTGGGATGAACCTAAGGGGCTCTTCTGGCTTCAACAGCTATGAAACCCAAGTGGTGGACTGTGACCACGAGTAAAAGCCAAGGGGGCCCCTTTCCATGACAGCATATCATAAGGGTGTGATTCAGTGACTTTCTAGAAATGTGAGGATCTAAAAGAAGTAAAGAAGGAAGTTTTCCTTCTCTGTCTCATTCTACATTAAGAAATAAGGCAACTTGGGTTCTCCCTTTAGGGAAAAGGGAAATTTGGCACAAAAAAGCCCCTCCCTACCTCCGCACATCTCCGTACCACATGTCTCCGCTTCACTATTCACTTGTTTTGACATAAAGTACTTTCCCCAAAAAAATATTAGTCACAATTTTGGCTTCAGCTAGCCACCTCTTAGTCTTCCTTCAAACGTTTTGAAATGGGTGATGTTAGAAACGTGTGATGGCATTGGATAGGGGTGGGCGGGTTTAGCATTTGTGGAAGATTCTGCATTGAAGTTTGGGCACCCAAAAGCTGCTGCCTGTCTGGGCTGGGTAAGAGAGTCCCATAGGACATGCCAGCAGATGAGAGGGTCTTTGGTTGGTCCCTTGGATAAAACAAACTGTGAGGATGGCAAACCAGAACATCTGGTAATAGCACTGTGGGGATGCGTATGTGAGTTTTGTCAATGGAGTCTGAAGAAGCCAGACTGATGACTGCAGCGTAAAGTTGACTAATCCATGTTGATGGGCTTCAGATTTGAACTAGCTGCCCAAAATCCTGGGTTTGAGCAGTAACTGCTTTAGCAAGCAGCTCAGCACCAAGGGGAAGAAAACTCCCCGAGTGCCATGTTGGATCAGATACAGGTTCCCAAGTGTTCCTGGGAAGCGAGGGGCAAGGGTTGTTTGAGTTAGACAGAGCTGCAAAATCATATTCCAGGCCTGTAGCATCTGCACACGCAAGCAAGCTTGCAGTCTCTGTGGGATCCAGAATGAAATGAGCCCTGCCATCCCCATGTGCTTCCTCAAGTAATTATTACATGTGTTCCACCCTAATGAGAACCTGCTCCATTTTCTCGTCCCTCTGCTCTGCTGCTCTCTCCTCACAGCTGCTTCTTCAGAGCTTCTCTTTGTGAAACCCATCTGGCAAAGGGCTTATATTTTATATTTTAAAAGAGAAATCTTTGGAAATTGGTAGTTTCGCTGTGCATTATTATGCTCATAATCCTCTAATTTGGTAATAGGTCTCTAATCATAGCCATGCAGAATGAGGAGCAGCGCCAGCCTGGAAAGGTGTCCCTCCGGGCTTCCCAGGCACAGCAGCCACAGCATGCCCCGATGGACCATTCATTCCATGGCTGCTCCCCAGGAAAGGCAGGGAGGAGATGCACCTTCTGGCATCACCAATAATGTAAAGCCATTCTTGGAACAGAATCAAACATAGATCATTGGTGAGAAACCCCTGAAACAAGGCGTTGCTGTGGGCTGCTCAAGGGTGGTTGCTGCAGGACAGTGCTGTGCTGGACAGCAGAGCAATGCAGGACACAGATTTTAATGTGTCATCCTGGTTCAGATGTTCTCAGCGTAGCAGAGGGAGGAAGACAGTCCAAGGGACTCCTGACCCGGTCTTCAGATCAGTGGTAAGACCATATTTTGCACATGTAAAGGATGTTTCAGCTGGCCAGCCCCTTCCATCAGCTGTAGCAGACACAAACTGCATGGTATTAAGATTTTAAAGATGCTTGTAAGGAAAAAAAGAAAACATAAATAAAGGCCAGGTACATGCTGGGGCAGTAAACCCTGTTTCCAGACTCTGTGCCCAGCTTGGGGATGGTTGGACACCCAGAATGGGTGTCTGAGCTGTGAGGAGCAGCTGGAACATGAGCCCTGCAGGTCCCTGGCTGCACGGTGCTGCAGGCAAGGTCTGGTGCAGCAGTGACACAGAGCCTGTGGCAGTTGTAAAGGAGCACTGTCAGTCCTGGGAAGAAGTGGTTTCCTACAGAGAAGGGACCGCTGGCAATGCTCCCAGCATCGGGGATGCAGGGCAGCAGCTCCCAGCTGGACCCAGGAACTGGGAGTGCAGAGGGGTCTCTGCAGCATGTCCCCGTGGGAGGAGATGGCCCTGGTCTGCATGGGGGTGTGTGTGACAGTCTCTGTTCTGAGGTGTTCTGGCATAATGCAGGGCTCTACAACTGCTGATTTCTCTTAGCCTAAGCTAAACCCTGCAATGTCTATGCTGCACAGAAAGAGGAGGGAAAAAGGAAAACCTTTTGAGAAATATGTCTATAAATAGCAATTTAGCTTGACAACCCAGTCCCTCCTGCAAAAAAGTCAACAGAAAACAACAAATACCATCCCTTTCCTATGGATACATTCTGCTCAGGAGCATTTTTCAAGGCTGTCTCTTGTGCAGATGAGCTATCAGGATGCAGAGGAAGGTGCAGCCTGCAAGTGAGGCCCTCCCAGCTCCTGATTACAACCTGCTGCTCTCGGGGTTTATGCCCAGTCTGCTCCTCTAACAGGATTTTTCTGACTTCCAACAGTGGAAAGAGGCAAATCAGTGCAAACACGCAGCTTGCTGAGTGTAATGTGTGGTGCCGAGACACACCTTAGGAAAAAAGAAATGGAAAGGCACTTCCAGACTACTAGATCTGAATGATCACAGTAGCTGATTGGGTTCTGCATAGCCTGGCTTCCCGGGCAGGAAAGCTGCCCATCTGCTGGGGCTGGGGGCTGGTCAGGCAACTGGTAATTCCACCCCTATGAAAAGGTATGCGTCTTTACATCCTGCCACCCTGCCAGATTGCAAGGTTGTGGCAAGAGATGTCAGCTGAGCCGAGCCCTGAGTAAAACCCTGGTAAGCACCGTGGAACGGAGACTGGAGTAGGTCTGTCTTAGGTTAGGAATGGGCTATATCCTCAATAACACTGTGAACTCAGTCCCAGTGTAGGAGAGGTGAACAGGAGAGGTTCCCCAATGAGGAAAGCTGAAACGCGAGCCCCAACAGCCAAGCTGGAATCAGGGATGTCTTTACTCAGCACCGCAGCTTGGCTCAGACATCCCAGGGAAAGCTCCAAGTGAGGGACTAGAAATGCAGAGTAGGGTAAGATGAAAATGAGACAAAGTCATCACTTCCCAAAACCTTCACAGTGAAGGAAACACCTCCCACTGTCTGGAGGATCCATGGGAATATTATAATATTTGTTCCAAAAACATGACTGGGTGGATACAGAATTACTGACGCAGACACAAGCAGCTAATTGAATTCATACGTAGAAACTCTGGACACCATATGGCCTCAATAAAACGTGGGTCCGTAGCTGTTTCTTAGCAGATGGTTATTCATTTTCATAATCTTAAATCAAAAGATCATTTTTATATCTGGAGATCAAAGGCATTTAATGTCTCCTTGGTCGAGGTTTATAAAACGAAACCTCTGTCCTCTTTCGGCGTGATGTGTGAGGCAGACAGGGGTTTTCCCCTGAAACCTTTGCAGAGGTTCTGGGCAACCACATCTGGGCAGCAGCTGCAGATGTTCCCAGCTCTTCAGGGCTGGGACTTTATTTTCATTAGGCGGACGTGCAGTTTATAGAAGGAGAAGGGACGGTTGCAATGAGCTTGTGTGGCCATTTATATTTCCTCAGACTACTGGGATACAGACCCTGCGAACATTTTGTGATGAAATTATCCTTTTTTCCCTTAGAAAAAAGTGCTGGAGCACCGTGTGACCTCTCGCATCCCGTACTCCACCCCGCAGAGCAGTTGTGTGAAGCCAGCTCTGGCTTCCCTGTGGGAGGTGAACCACGGAGGCACAAGGCAAGTCTCGGAGTCCTCTCAGCTGTGTGCAAGAGGGTGGGCGAGCGCTCGCCTCCAAGGCTGCACGTCAGTGCTGCTCTGCCGGCAGCCAGTGCAGGGGAGGAGAAGGGGGCGAGATGCACTTACGTGGAAAGTACTTCCACACCCACCAAAAACCCTCTAGGATAGACGTGATCTTTGCCACCTAAGAATGAAAGGTGTGTGGTTACTCAGAGCACCGTAGGTACAGGTTGCAACAAATTGAGTCCTGTTAATGAACCTCATTTCTACCGTGGCTACCTGCTGGCTGACGAGCAGTTCTCATCGGTGTGAAGGTGTAGCCGAAACGCACCTCCTCTGAGAACCCACACTGCTGGGGTGCACTTTGCATTTCAAACACCGATGCATGCAGTTAATACTCGCGCCACGATCGGCAGGCATCTCCGAGATGAGAACAAGCACTTCCCTGCTGCTGTGCAGGTATTGCCTGCCAGCCTCGCTGCCTTGGCTGCAGTATGGAAATGATCCTCCCCAGCAGACAGCAGAGTCCCACCTCGGTTCCCATTCACCTGGAGATGAAAGTGCTCTGGCTGCCAGTGTAGGAGGGGCAAAACTATTTAAAAACCTCATTAGAGAAAGTATTTGTGGAAGACAGCAACACCCTCAGTTGTGGTTTGCTCGAGGACTTCTCAGCCAGATCACTTCTGATACAGAGGGAAGGGCACTATGAGAGACATTCCTGTCAACTAGTACTTCTCGTAGGGATGCCCTGGGTAGACTTTGCTGCCTTCTCTGTCTTGGTGGGCTTTATTTTCTACGTAAATAATGGGCATGTTTCCCTCCAGCTGCTGTTTGGATGAGGAGCCTGGCTGCAGCATGGCATCAGGGCTGCCGTGCGGTGCAGAATGGTCCCATTTTGTGATGGAGAAACGCAGTAAGCAAACTGCACAGTATGTATGTAATCTTGATTAGGCACAAATCCACCATGAATATTTCCTATTCCATTTAATTCCTGCTTGGGCTTAATTCAGCTGAATTTGCAGCAGGAGTAATGCCCAAGCCACATCTGGCTTGTAATGCACATGGGATCAGGCTGGGAGTTTGGGAGGAGGTGGATCTGGATGCAGAGGTTTGGCTTCTTATTTAGAAAATGACTGGTTACATTCTCCCACGGCTGCTCCAGACTATCCCAGAGCTTAATGATATTCACATCCAAGGGTTTTTCAGTCTGCGTGACTAGGAAACAGTCTCATGTCTATGGTTTGTCTGGCCTGTTAGGAAGGAGCCTGTGCACCTGCATTTCCCCCACCGCCTGCATTTCCTTTGCATCCCATTTATTCAAAGGGGCCAAATGTTTGTTAATCCTAACAAGTTAGAGTGCAAATAATCCCTTTTCCTCTTCCAGTGTAGTCGGCATTGGCACATCTTTAGCAGCCCCCGGTCAATCAGGACAGCTGCAGCTCTCAGCCAGCCATATGGGGATGAACATCCTGCTCCCTTGCAAGCAGGTTCTTGATCCCGAACGACCACACAAGCCTACAGGGACCAGGCTGGGCTAAGCATGTCCCCACACAGTATATGGGCTTGTTCGCCCTCATCTCCAGCCAGGGGAGCTGACAGCGCTCATGCAGAATTCAGCCGGGTTCCTCTGTGTGCTTCCTCCCATGGCACTGACTGAGCCGCCTGCCCTGTTTTGTCCCAGCCAGCTTCCCAGGCCGAGCTGCTGAGCTCTTCACCTCTGCCACCAGCCCTGACAAACAGCCTTTGCTCTGCTGCTTAATGATACTTACAGTTTGAACTGAGTCCCCCCGACCTGATCAACAGGCGCCTTATACACCATGAACATGCGGATCACACAGACCTTGTCCAGGAGGCTTGAGGTTCAGAGGACAAGGTTTAACTCATCCATGTCCCGAGATGAACTGTAGGAGGAACATACTCCCAATCTCTTCTTTTGCCTGTTCTGGCTTCATTTTATTATTGGTTGTAGGGGAGGTGTAATTTTTTTAATCCAGTTAGCAAGTCCAGGATACTTTTTATGCTAGTATTTACTCAGATGTAATGTAGTTTGGCCCTGTAGCTGTTGTTACCTGCATCTCCCAGAAGGAACAAAATCTCCCTACACTGAACGCCCCAGTGGTACTGATTCCTGCGGGGGGACGTGGATGCCAGCAAAAACTAAGTAATGCTGTTGTTAAAAGCTGTGGTATTTTCTAAGTCATAGACCTAAAGGCACCCTACTTTCTTTGCTTTGCATACTTGCAGAACACCGTCCTTTCTGCTTTTCAGATATGAAAGCCGAAGCAGAGAGACATCTGATGAGGCTTCATCGCTGACTCACTGTTTGATGTTAGGCAGAAGGAGGAATGTGATCAGATACCATTGTGCAAAGCATCCACCAGACAACTCTGTCACTCACAGGAGCAGCAGCTCTGAGCGAGATGGGCTGGCAGCCCTGTTGTCCTGCCCTCAGCTGGCTCCGTGCCTCTCTCAGGCCATGGGTAACCCCTTGCCATCGCCACCTGAGCTCTGCAGAGAGAGCAGGGAGACATCACCTTGGGGATGCCTTATACCATGTGCAGACTCCTGCCGGCAGGGTCAGCCAGCGGTGCGGGAGAGGCTGCAGCCCGCAGGGGTGTGCACGGGTGTGCACGCCTGGAGTTCTTTCTCACGAGATGGTGCAACCAGCTGGCGGGGAACTGGTTAAACAGCGTGAGCTCCTTGGCTGCCTGGGCTTGGCTGGCGGTGCGAGGCAGGGCAGGATGTCACCAGGAAGCCGGCATGTTTTATTAAACAGAGTATCAAAGTGGGCTAAAGTCTCTTATTAATGTCCACAAATGCTGCCACTTCCAAACAGTTTCCACCTACATATTCCTCCCACTGCCGCGCTGGGTGCTGGCAAACATCTCTGCTCAAAGAGGGGAATGGCTTTCATTTGAATAGTCCTCAGGCAAGTTTCACTGAGCGGTGCCAGCATCATACCCACAGTTCTCACGTGCCCGGCAGCGATCCAGGGCAGTGCCGGAGGGAGGGCCCTTCGCTTGCCCAGGACTCCACAGAGACAACAGCTCTCAATAGGTTTTCTCAGTGTTTTATCCAAGCAGCATCCATGGCGGCCTAAACCAATGTAATTAAGCAGCGATGGGTGCACATACTTGCAATATTAAATCTCAACTTAATCTAGCTTGCGGACGACTCCTTTCATCGTGGCAGCGAGAGTGGCCAGCTGTGCTATTGAGATAGTGAGTCACACATGCAACTGAAACCACCAGTTTTCAGCTTCTTCACAATCTGAGCTTCTGCAACTACCTGCAGGCTCCCAGGAGGAGGAGGCGGAGCCCTGGTGGGTGTCAGACTGCTCCTCCTACACTGTTAAGTCCCACATTGCCCCTTTTGGGACCCTGCCTTCAGCTGGTGGGTGCAGGCTCTCCTTCGCATGCCTTAGACATTGTGGTTGGGAAGTGAGACGTGAGCTGCTCACCCTGGGCTCTCCTGGCTTTATACATCCTGCACCGCCCAAGCTGCTGCAGCGCCACAGACCTAGGGCTGCAGGAAGGCGGTGGATGTTTGATGTGCGCCATCCCATGTAGCTGACAGCACCATGCTGCCCACCGAGTGCTTTCACATCCATCCCAGAGGCTGGTGCCGTGCCTGGAGGTCTGCCCATCTCAGAAGAAGAGCCACCACGTTTGCTGTGCACCCAGCCGTCCTGGGGACAGTTTAGCCCCGGCAGAAACTTTTCCTTCTGCAAAAAGTAATGGGTATTAATTGCCGAGGCCTCAAGGCCGTCTGTCAGATGCTGAGGGCTGACCGCATCCGTGCAGCACCTCCCGCACTGCCCAACCTCAGCATCCAGCCCTGGCTGCTGGGCCCAGACATGGCTGTTCTTTCACCTCCGGTGCCAGTAACCTGACACAGGATTGCTGGAAATGAGGGAGAGGGAGAGTCAGCGATTTGATTACAGGCCACAGGCACATGCCTGGCCTTCATGGATATATTAAGTAAGAGACATTTTAAAACAAAACCACCCTCAGTAACCTTATCGTAAGCTTGAATCCGCAACCCATCTGCTAACTCCCGGCGCTGCCCACACAGGCTTCGATCAGATGTTGGTGCCAGGGATTTTCGGAGTGTTTCCCCCTCAGAGTGCTGTGATCAGAAGGGGACAGGCCCGGGGAAGGGGCAGGTCCTGGGGCTCGAGCCTCCAGCCACCTTCAGCATACCTTCAAAGAACCCGACCCCAAACCCTCACCCCTGACTGTGCCTGTAAGTAACTGCAAATCCCACTTGGACACGAGCTGCTGCTGTCCTGTGACTCTCAGTCCTTGTGAAAGAAGCTCTCGGGACATGTGCTGCTCCATGAATGGCTTTAGAAAATAAAGCCTTTTAAAACATTTTGCTGTTGCCCTAATCGTGCATTGTAAAGGAACCCTCCATATACAAATAATTCGGCAAACACAGTCCAGAAGGCGAATTGATGATTGCATCAGCCCCAGCTTATGAAAACTGATCCCCAGGAAAATGTAATTCAACTCTCCAGCAATCTAACTTGATACGCAAGAATGTAATAACTTCATTTGGATCCTCTTTTTAGGGGGACTCCTAAACCCTTGGCAACGTCCCTTAAGGTCATGAGCAAATCCTGATACGGAGAATTGTTTGGCAAGCATGGGAACAGTAAAAGGGCTAAATAATTGGGGATTACCTCTGACCCTGATCTGTAGCTCACCACCCACTGCAGGAATGCACCGAATATCTGAAAGAGCATGCAGGAGTCAGGCAATCCGTGGGCATGAAGCTGTCCACGTACACTTGAAGTCTGAACTTAAAATGCAGAGCAGGTTGGCCCCGCACCTTATTTTTCATCAGCAATCAGCTGCGGCAAGCTCTGTTTCTGGTGCCTTGGACAGAGGGTCAGTGATGGGACAGGTTAAAAACTGTATGGGTTTTTTTCACCCGTTGTTTGGAAAGTAACAGCTTGGGCCTTCAGGGCAGAGAGAGAAGGAACCATCCGATTCAGACCCTGCTCCTAGCGCTGGTTACCAAACTGAAGGAAAAGGACAAACACATCACTTCCATTTTTCCTGGCTGATAGTTATTGCTGGGTTTGTCCAGCACCTGTAAGAAAGACCATCTCTGCTTTGGGAAGTCCACAGCCCAGCACTGTGATCATTTGTACTCGGTGCTCCATGTCAGCCCATGAGCCCTGTCCTTGCAGCAAGCTGGCCCTGCAGTGAAGCCTCGGGGCCCATGAGCGGATCATGGCCATAATCGCCAGGTTTGCAGGCTCAGACACAAATACCGAGGACACCGCATCCAGTGGGACACCGGCTTTCTGGGAGCTCCGTGTCACTGCTATGTTGGTTATGCTGGAGAGGCAGCTGGGATCTTGCAAAGAGGTTTTGGGGGTTTAGAAACCTTACATTTGTGGCTAGTGAGTTTCTGTGAGGCAATGGCTTTCCCGAGGATTCCTCCTGGTACCGACACACACCTTTAGGTGGCATCGAGCCTTAAAATGCCTGTCTCCATCGCCCGTGTAAAATCTCCCTGTGCTCTCACACAGTATCTCCTGACCTCAGATTCCTCCGAGCGTGGAGCAGCCATGGCTCTGCAGGCGATAGCAGAGGCTCTGTGCTGGAGCTCTGCTATTACCTTATCTTGGTAAATGCACTATTTATCTGGTGAGCTTGCCTCTACTTGTTCAGCGTTCCTTCCGTGGGGAAAATGACCACAGCCCTTGCAGGGAGGGGGCTGCTTTGGCAGACACACGCTGTTGTAACCACCACAGCGCTCCACGTCTCACAGCAGCCGGCACGCAGGAATCACAGATGCTTCGCAAAAGCATGGGAAGTCCTCAACTTCTCCGCGCGATGCTGCCGCTTGCCTATAACCATTTCTTGAGCGACTCCCGGTTATTTCCCCCCATGTTTCCAAAGTTCGGGGGCTGCAGATGTAACTCGTGTCTGTGCTCGGGGGGAGGGGGGAGGTGGGTGTTTAACAGCGAGCTCGCTAAAACCCAGCGACCGTGACCCCACCGCTGCGCCAGCGGGAGCGCTCAGCTCCGCGGCGCGCCCTCGGCTCAGATTCAAGGCCGGTTTCCCTCCGCCCCCCCCCCCGGAAGGGCAGAGGGCCCACGGGGCTCGGCGGGGCGGGGATCCCGCCGGGATGCTCGGAGAGGGGGATGCACGAAGGGGGGGGATGCGCTGCCTCGGGGACCCCGCTGCTCCGCCCCCCCCCCCTCCGGTCCCGGTGCGGTCCCGCCCCCCCGGCACGTTGCGCGGCGGTGGCGGCGCTGCCGACACGTGAGGCTCATGTGACGGGGGGCGGCGGGCCCGCCCCGGCGGCCGCCAGACGTGCCGGCAGTCACAGGGTAGCGCACGTCGCTCCCGTCCACCCACTCGCCCGCATTTAACCCGGCCCGCCGCCGCCCGCCGCTCCTCAGCCCGCGCGGCGCGGACGCGGCATGAACAGCCCGGCCTGAGCCCCTGCCGCCAGCCCGCCCCGCTCCGCGCACCGCGCTCCGCTCCGCGCACCCCGCACCACCGCTATGGAGCGGATCCCCAGCGCGCAGCCCCCGCCGGGCTGCCTGGGCAAGCTGCCCGCCCTGGAGAGCGGCGACATGCCGGGGTAAGCGGCGGCGGGAGCTAGGGGGGAGGAGAAGGAGGAGCGGCGGCCCCGCCGCGGCCCCCCGGGGAACGGGGCTAATATCGGTGCTTTCGTTTCGCCCGTGCAGGCTGGACTTCGCGCACATGTACCAAGTTTACAAGCCCAGGAGGGGGTTAAAGAGGAGCGAGGACAACAAGGTATCTTGGGGGCTGCGCGGCGGCTCGCCCCGGGAGGGCTCGGGGGGGGGGGGGTGGACGACGGGGGGACCGCATCGAGGCGGGAGCGATGGGCGCGCTGACCCGCTCCCGCCGGCTTTGCAGGAGACCTACAAGCTGCCGCACCGGCTGATAGAGAAGAAGCGGCGCGACCGGATTAACGAGTGCATCGCCCAGCTGAAGGACCTGCTGCCGGAGCACCTCAAGCTGACGGTACGCGGGAGCAGGGACGGGGACAGGGCGCCCGCCAGGTTCTCCCGCGGCTGGGTCTTCGCCCGGGGTTTGGGGTTAACTCGTTTTCTTGTCCTCTTTTTCGTTGCCCGCTGTGCCGGGTGCCCCGTGGTGCCGCTCCCCCGCGCCGGGCTGTGAACCCATCCCAAACTTTCCCGGGAGTGGAGCCCTCAAGTGGGTTCCTGTGGTGGCAGGTTCCTGCGGGGCTGGGCTCCCCAGCTGGGTCCCTCCACTGATACCATGATGCCAGCAGGGCAGCAGAACGGATAAATGTGAGACTTTCCTTTGAGCTGTGTGGCCAGTCTGAAAACACCCATAGGATCCTGTGACAGCCTTTTCTAGAGGCAGCTTTTAAACTTATTTTCATGGAATACCATCCTCCATAGTCCTGTACTGTTCAGGATCAAGGCACTGCCCTTAAGCCCAGAAAATCCAACCTGCGTCCATCCTCCCTCTGTCACTTGGGAAGCACTGGCAGCCCTGTCAGGCTGCTGCGCGTGTGGCCAGCCCCACAGCACTCACCAACCTGTCCCTTTGCTTTCAGACTCTAGGTCACTTGGAGAAGGCTGTGGTTCTCGAGCTCACCTTGAAGCATGTGAAAGCACTAACCAATCTCATCGAGCAGCAGCAGCAGAAAATCATTGCTTTGCAGAATGGTTTACAAGCGGGTGAGTATTCAAATTGTATCGTGTGAGAACCTGCGTATGCTTGATGGACTTTCTCCCAGAGTCTTTGAAATGCAGTTGTGACACTGTTCCTCAGCAGGGAGGAGGCAGGAGTTCCTGCCTTTAATCGCCATCATTTTCTCTTCCTTTGCTTATGGGCTTTGGCAAAAAAAAGGTGCGTTTCTCAGTAGGGTCAGTGTAGAGTGAGTGCCCTGTGGAGCTGTGTTGAAAATGAATTGGATTTTAAGTAGTTTCATTTAAAGCCCAGGTTTGCTGTGAGGTTCTCTCCGAAGCCATTCAGAGCTTTCTGCTTGAGTTCATGAGCTTTGGATCAAACTCGGGGTGCACACAAATTGCTTCTTATGCGCGCTTTTCTTAGGTGTCTGTCTTTATAAATGAGCTAGTCTGTGTTCGGCAGGCAAAGAGGGGACCCAGTGCATCAGCTTATCATGCTTTAGATGCACTTCCTCCTCCTGTTTTCACATGTGGCACTCACGTGAATCTGATAAAGTAAAATGTAGTTTTTCTGAAGGGCCTTCCAGTGCTCCGGCAGCCACAGGGAGTGCAATAGAGCTTTCAGCTGATGCAGAATCACCCCAGGTTAGGGAGCTGCCGGTGGGTAGATGTGCCCCAGGAGCTCTGTGCCTGGAGGTGAAGGGCGAGGTGTGACTCTGCCTTCCCCAGGGTGTTTCCCAGAGGACACACCAGCTTGACTCACTCTTGTGCTCCGTGCTCCAGCACCTGTTGATGGCAAATGTAGAGCTCAAAACTAAGTTTAAAGTTACTGTGGAAAAGAGAACAGATGGATGCTCAGATAAAAACGTAGAGGGGATCAGGGGAATGCATGCAGAGTTCAGGCCGACTGTCAAGTTCGCCTCTCTAGCCGTGCTGTAGAAGAAGTTCAATCCTGCCTCCAGCCCACCTTGAAGATGGTAATGGGGCTATTTAGCACGTTGTTAATTTTTAATTTCTCTCTGTTAATGTTTCCTCAGGTGACCTGTCATCAAGAAACCTCGATTCCAGCCAGGAAATGTTTCGATCCGGTTTCCAGATGTGTGCCAAGGAAATGCTGCAATACCTGGCAAAGCACGAGAACGGCAAGGACCTGAAGTCGTCCCAGCTGGTCAGCCATCTGCACCGAATGGCCTCCGAGGTGCTGCAGGGCGGAGCCGGCCGCAAGTCCGGAGACATCCCTCCTAAAATGGTGGACTTGAAAGAGAAGCCCGTCTCCTTGGCCACAGTAGCGGAGGGACATGGGAAAAACTGCGTGCCCGTGATCCAGAGGACATTTGCCCACTCCAGCGGGGAGCAGAGCGGCAGTGACACAGACACGGACAGTGGGTACGGGGGAGAGCTGGAGAAAAGTGACTCCAAATCCGAACAGCAGTATTTCAGAAAGGATACCGAACTCAAGTACGCTGTGCAGGAGAGAATAAGCTCTATTAAGCAAGAGACTGAGGACCCGCCGGCCAAAAGGAGCAGGCTGGAGTCACCGGAGGACGAGAGCCCTTTTGGCAGCGACATGATGGGCTCTTCCAGCAGCTTCCTGGGGCCTCACGCTCACCAGCCTCCCTTGTGCCTGCCTTTCTATTTGATCCCACCATCGGCAACAGCCTATCTGCCCATGCTGGAGAAGTGCTGGTACCCAGCGTCCGTACCTGTCTTGTACCCCAGCCTCCCAGCGTCTGCCGCAGCACTTACGGGGTTCATGAACCCCGATAAAATCTCCCCACCTCTGCTGATGCCCCAGAGACTCCCTTCTCCCATACCAGCCCATTCCCCTATCGACTCATCGGCTCTGCTTCAAGCTTTGAAGCAGATTCCTCCTTTGAACTTGGAAACCAAAGACTAAGCGCAGTGTGATGTTTTTGTTTAAGTTGGTTTTTGTTTTGTTTTAGTTTGAGACTTTCACTTTTCTATATTGGCTGGACTGAGGTGTGGGGATGAGGTTCACTGCACGTAGGAAGCTAAATCCCCTTTTCTCTGACTTGTCAGGTAGCTTGGAGGAGGATGAAGGATGCGCCCAGGTTAGCGATTCAGAGCTACTTCCAGGAGAAATACAGAAAAAGAAGGGGTTTGTGCTTTACCCCTTACCTTCTTCCCTCTCCACATCTACAAAACAACAGTTGACTTGGTCAGCTGCGACTGTATTGCAAAGCTGTGAAGAAATATTCCATTAGGCAGACTTGGGTTTAGGGTCTGTGAATATAAAAACACGGTACTTCGCATGAAAAGGCTTTTAAGGCAGCAGCCCCACTGCTGGTAGTCTGAGCTGAACTGATTCAGTGCCCCAGCAGTCACCAGTGCCAAAGTGACTGGCACAGTTGGTGCAGCAGTGGTGGAAATGCCACCAAAAGCACAGGAGCAGCGGACACTGCTTGGTCATGCACAGTCAGGTAGACTTAAGACGGGTTTTCTCCACACCTTTGGCTGATATATATATATATATTTTAATTTTTTTTAAAGAAATAAAAGGTAGATGCTGCTTGGAAGCTTTACGTGGCGTACATCTAATAAATAAATTAACACACGCCCCTTCCTGTAACTGGAGCTGCTAGTTTGGGCCGGGTAGGGGAGAAAATACCCCAAGGATCACTTGGCTTGTTGCACCTGACTCCAGGCCTCTCTCGCTGCTGCTGCGCAGTTCCACCGGGTCTGTGTTGGAAATCAGGATGGTTTAATGAGCCCTGTCAGCAGGGGCCCAGCCTGTGAGCAGCTGCTTCCCGACCGGGGCGAGTCGAGAGCTTCATGCAAGAGGGAGCAATTCAGCCGGGGTCGGCAGCGCGATGCCTGCTGAACGTGCCCATCAGTGCCTTTGGACAATGAAAAGGCTGGGATTTTCAAAGGAGTCTAATCCCAGTGGGGTTTGAGCATCTAAATTCCTTAGTCTCCTAGGCAAACCCTGGCCCATGTTACTGTATTAAAGAAAGAGGGTGAGGGTGTTGACACTTGTCCCGTTAAACTGCGAGGGTCTTTCTCCGTTAGAGGCACATTATGTCCATTTTGGCTTCTTTTTCAATTCACAAAAGAACTTCACTGCAAAATGCAGTGCTGGGGTTGGGGTTTGGTTTGGTTTTCAGTTTTTCTTCCTGGTTTGGAGAACTCGTGTCCAGAAACCCTGTTGTATGGATTTTCATTTCGCCCTCCCATTGCACCAGCTGTTGAGATGCACTATGCTTGATTGCAGATTGTGTTCTGACGTTTATTTTGTCATTGGTTTTTTGGGTTTTTTTGGTATACAGTTGTTGCCTTTATTTGTAAAATCCTGTTATAAATATATATATTATATAAATATATTAAAAGGTAAAATGTTTCAGATGTCTATTATTTGTATAACTACTTGAGCATAAAGAAGTGATAAATATGAATGTATTCTCGTTTCTGGGTTGTCTTTTTTCTGAAGAGAAGAATTTGTTTTTCTCTAGGGAGAGGTACAGTGTTTATATATTGGAGCTGCCTTCAAGGTGGGCTATTGTACATATTTTTATCTTGAGTAAATGTTAAGTAGTTGTTTAAAAATGCTTAATAAAATAATTCTTTTCCTGTGGAAGATAAGGGTTTGCCTCCTGTGCTTTTCAGTGTTTGTGCAGGGTCATTCCATGTGGTCTGGTCCAGCACTCGATGGTGATCTCCTCGCTCCCCTGACAGCTCCTGCAGGGTCCCATTACCCATGTCCCCAGGGTTATTTATTTAACTCCCTTGGCATCCTCAGGGATTTTTTGCCTTCTCAGTCCGCAGGAGGTGCCAGGAGAGCCTGGCTGGCTTCTCTGCCTTCTCCTTATTCCACTTCGCACTCCCTCGGCCTGGTCTTATGGCTCATCTTCTCCAAGCTCTGTGGGGAGTGGGGAGAAGGCAGCCCCTCACTGTAGTGGCTACATCTTACCGGCTTTGCCCATTGTCTGGAGGAGGGAAGGATGGATGGCTTTCCATGAACAGTGGGTTTGCTTTGCCAGTGTCCCTCAGACCTGCAGTGGAGCTTCGCAAAGCCTCTGTGCTGCACGATAGGGATGGTGCCCACCCTCCCTTAGGGGAACAGGGGGTCCTGGTGCATGGCAGTCCTGGCTGGCAGGGATCAGGGGTGCCCTGCTCTGCCTGCATTGTCTCAGTTGGCAAAAGCCCCAGTGGCTTCCGTGATGGCCCTGTTTGACTGGGAGGGATGGCCACAGTGCTGCTGCAGAGCTGGATCCTGCCTCTGCCGGGTAGGAACCCGTGCCACCCCCTGCACACCCCGGCACCCTGCTCCCATGTGCTCCCGTGACTGTTTTGCTGGTGCTGCAGGCAGTGATGAGATGCCTGGTGCCTCTTATGCTGCTGCATAGGGGATATAGGTGCCTATAGAATAGGTGCCTATAGAATAGGCACAGGGGTATGGTACAGATCTGACCACTGACAGGCTCCTGCCCAGACTCTCCAGCAATGATGGACATTTTCTGGCTTCTGCACAAAGTGATGATGACCCCAAACCTCTCCCCAGAGGCAAAGGACGGGCGCAGCATGGCTCTGGCCCATGAGGGATGGGTGGGAGGACTCAGTTTCCCGGCGGTGCTGTGTACGTGTGGATGGGGCATGGGCACTTCTGCAGGATATTTCAGGTTTTCACAATGCAGATGAATCACAAACTGTGGTGTGCGGTTTAATGCCAGGCTGGGACAGTGCTGCTCTGTCCTGGGCTGCAGCATGTCTGGGACACCACTGGAGGAGATGCAGGCACCCAGGGGCTGCTGTTAGACTACAGCAGCATCAGCTTATAGTAACATTAGCTTAACAAATGTTAGGAAAAAAACATACAAGGCTGCTTGTATTAATTTGTTTGGGGCCTCTATAACTCCTGACGTTTATGTTGTGTTTGTTTTAATTAGGGCTAAATATTGATCTCACTGAAGATGACTGTAAGTAACCCCATTTTGGGGACAGCATTTGGTGCTCAGCGCAGCAGTGCTTCCAGCCTCGTTAATGGCTGGATTTCTGGCTCATTTCCACGGCTCTTGCTCCCCTTTGGTCTCCATCTTCTGACCCACCTCGTTGTCTGGTGGGAGGACTCACAGAAGCTCCAGATCCTTAGTCACAGAGGAAGAAGAAAACCGTAAAAAGGGAGTGGAAGAGATAAGGCTTATACAGGAAGCGGTGGCTAATTACGGGCTGGGGATTTTCTCTGCCTCCCTGGCCTGGCTCCAGTGGGACAGATGAGCTCTGCGGGGCAGAGCAGGGTCCAGCAGCCCTTGGTTATCCCCGGCTGGCAGCACAGAGCAGGGGATGCACTGGCAGCAGCGTGGCTCGGGGGATGCCCTGCCTGCAGACCCCCGTGCTGCCCGCGCCTCCAGCAGCCCCTGCCGTGCCTCTGCCCACTGCGGGGCTGCCCCATCCCACAGCAGCATCACCAACGGGGCAGAGCCCCCGTGCTCCGTCCGGGTGCCAGGACCGGGGGGCAATGAGGGCGGTGTGTGCGGAAGGTGCCGGCGGGGCAGACCCCCGGCATGGCGCCAGGCCGTGGCAGCCCGTGCCGCGCCGCGCCGGCGGGGTGCGCTGAGTTCCCCGGACTTGTTTTCACGGTCTCACCCAGCTCTGACCTGCCTCAAATGTTGACACAATGTCACGTTTCCGACTGCAGTCTTTCATGTGCAGCCGGAGGCTAAATACGGCTGCTGGTTCCTGGAAAAAGACGTGCCTGGCACCCTTTCAGCAGAAACCCGATCCCCATGCAGGCTTGGCACAACAGCTGAATAACATGGCAATAACTCTTTCAGCAGCATTTCAACCCATAAATAGGGCTTCCCGAGCGACTCCTTGAAGTGAGGCAAGGAGGATACAATGATTTTTAGTGAAAAAAAGGCAAAAAAGAAAAGGAGCGAGAGTGTGAAAAGTGAGTCCGAGGAGGCAGCTGGGTTCGGAGCAGATCAAAGGGTGTCGTGGGGATGCTGAGCGTGGTTTGGTTATAACCCGAGTGCAGGATTGCCTCAAAAGGAAAGAAATGCTCTCGAATTTTTTACTGTCTCGGTCCCGTTTTACAGCAGCCCCACGGAGGTCGGGTGAGAGCCTTCCGGAGCGCCAGGGCCCTTCCTAACCCCGCCGAGGACACACGGACACATAATTTTAGCTTTTCACCACCTGTTTGGAAAGCTCCTATAACCCAGCGCTATGGGACGGGATGGTTTTTACAGGCATGTACCCCGGGAGCTGCTTATTTGCATTATGCATGGACCGGGGCCTAAAATAATCTGCAGTGACGCACATTTATTTTATTATTTTTTTTTGCTGTGATTTTTTTCTTTCCCCCTTCTTTTTTCCTGCTTTTCCAGGGCTCCATTTTCCCGAACGTGCCGTGACTTTTGAGGACCATGCATGGCTAACCAGCCCCAGGGCTCCCGAGCCCCTGAATCAGCACGTCCGCCTGCAGACACGGAGCCGAGGGGGAGCGCTCCGCCCCCCCCCCCGGCCGTGACACGGCCACGGCGGGGAGAAGTGCCCTTGCGCTCTGCCTTGGCTTTCATCTGCAAAGCGTGTAGCTGCAAGTGCCGCGTGTTTACAAATGCAGGCATTGCAAGATCCCTTGAACTGTGTCCTAGTACAAAAGAGGCTTTGAAACAAGAAACACGTTGTCATGGCATGTTCCAGGCCAGCAGCACCAGACTGAACCAGATAATTGCTGTTTCTCCTTTAGCTGCTTCATCGTGGAAAAAGCAGCAGGTCTTGAGCAAGTCTTTTTTTTCCCTTTTAGACATTTTCGGTGAGATGCTCGGGATGGAAGGAGAGGGTCTGGAATGCCTGGGCAGAGGCGGGATGAGCCCAGCCTGTTCTCCAGGGCTGGAGGGAAATCACTGTGCTGTGCTCAGGTCATGTAACCATAGCCTGCGGAGCTGGTGACGCTGACCCTCGCTTATGTGACACGGGCTATTCCTATTTTGTAGCCCTGACTCGTGGCGTGCTGCTGGAGCCAGGAGACGCAGCGCTCACAGCTCCCCCCATGCTCCAGACTTTTCCCATTGCCCTTTTCCGGGTGCTTCATGGCACTCGAGAAATACCCAAACACCTCTCAGTGCCAGGCAGCCCACTAAGGGGGCTGATTGTCCCCTACATTGAATAAGTCTGTTACCACCCTGGGCTTGGTGGCGGGGCAGCAGTATTTCTCCACCTCTAGAAATGATGGGCACGGTGGAAGGGGTGCCTGCACTCTCGTGCCCACATTCCCAAGGCACTGCACTGCCATGCTGGGGTTTTAAGAAATGGAAGGTAATATTTCTACTTGGCACTTTGAAATAATTTATTTCTTATACATTTCTCCTGAGTGTGTTTTTGCTCTGGGCACATCATTCTGTGGGGTCAGTTATTGCCATTATGGCCAGTGCCTTCAGAAACAGTAAAGCTCTGTCTTGGAAGGGCTTTTCACTGCATGTGCCTCGTTAAAAACTGGAGAAGGCTGGGTAAATACCACACAGCTGAGGGAAAACAGGAGTCTGGGGCTACTTTGCAAGAAGCAGCACCAGGGAATGCCTAAGAATAACAAGGTAGATCCCTTATCTCCTGTGGTGTGTGCTGCTGCCCTTGGGAAAATGGGACCTGGGTGGGGTCTGTCCCAGATTGGATGCTCCTGGCCTCCCTGTACCTGACTTGTCACATCCACACGGAGTCACAATCCTGCCTGGAGTTTGGGATGCCACAGTCCTGCGGCGTGGCTGGGTTAAGGCATGTCTGTTAAGGCAGGTGAGTGTCTGCTGTGGGATGCTGAATCCTCAGTCAGCTCAGTGCTGCCCTATACCAGTGCGTGTCTGTCCCTCCCCTCTAGCCAGAGAACCCTGCCCTGTGGGGTGAGACCAGGAGAGAGCTGGGTCAGCTCTCTGCAGCCTCAGGCTTGTCCCCAGAGGTCCATTTTACCCTCTCTCCTGACCTCTGCTTTTATTCCATCACGCAGGATGGGACTCTGCTTTATTGTTTTCTGAACAACAGCTCAGGCTAAAGAAGGGTGGCAGCACTGTGGTCACCGGAGCTGTCACATAAGAAGGAGTAATTAGTTTTCTCTCTCCAATACAGCTTTATCTTTCCTTCAGCATGTGGTGCTGCTGGAAGTGCTGCAGTGTTCCCATCTCCTGTGTGGGGCTCTCCTGGTAGCCTCGCTCCGTGCCTCCTTTTAGCAGCAGCTAGGAAAAAGGCAACAATATATTCTGCTTTGAAAGTACTGATTAATATGCAAACAATTAGGCCTGAGATATTACTTATCCTGGTCACGGGGCTCGTATTTGCACTTTTGCCTGAGGATGTGTACAACACGAATGTAGAGCTGAGCAGCTTATGGAAGATTTAACTCTTATTTCTATTCTTGACACTGAATCATTAATAAGGTTATGCCCATGTTCAGGGCCTTTCCCAGCGCTCTCCTCCTGCTGCAGCAGGGGGTTAGAAACCTGCTGGCAGAGCTTTACTTCAGCTATCGATTGGTGTGCAGCAGGGGTAATATTTCACCCCGAATGGAAGCAGTCACTGATGATTATCGCATGGTATTAGCACGTGTCGTGAAATTGGTGTGATTTGAGATGAAATGTGAGCTATGGGCATAGGCAACC